GCTGTTGCTATAAAAAAGCATAGAAGAATGTTGAGGGCGTTTCATAAGCATAAAAATGGAAAGCATGATGAGCAGTGAGACTGTAATGATTTTGTTTTACATGCTTGCTGGAAATGCTTTGCTTTAGTTAGCCTATTTTAACAATTTTATACTTGAGGTGGAGTACCCCTTGTACTCCGTATAATAAAATCTTATTTATTTTGTTGATCAAAAAAAAAGAAAAAATTAAAGAACATAAGAGATTGGAAATTTATATTTCAAATTACATGTAATAATTTATATTACAAAGTCAAAGTTGATGACGAGCCAACACCTTATAAAAGATGTTATATTCTGGATGAAGGAGAGTTGTTCGACCTGCTGGTCCAAGCACGCTGCATTGCTTAGTTAAATAGAATTGTTGCAGCAACTCTTACTATATAAAAAGTTAGTGCACCGCTTATATAAAAAAAAAATTGTTATATTAGATGTTCCCGTCTTTGGAATTTCAAGTGTTAATTTTGGCCTTTTTTTATTTTAATTAGACGGTAGAATTAGATTACATGTATTTTGAGGTTAATAACTTTTTAATGGCACTCCAAAAATTTCGTTGCTTCCTAGAGAATCAAAATCCACTGGTTTTTTTTTTTTTTTCTGCGATGAATTGTCCCTTTGGGTTTGACTTGAACTTCATAGGTAGCACTGCTCTGCCCATAACCATCCTGCTAAGAGACTTCCTCAACTAAAACTGATAAAACTCTCTGTTTGAAACTTTCTCCATCAATCAATGCCACTCTTGAATTGCTCCCAATAAACGCCATTCCAGTGGTTTGGGAATTAATTATTTTTCTACAATATGAGATATGACCTGACAAATTCATAAGTACATGTAAATCACTTTTAACACAACTCTCCAAGCTAAGTTGTGGTTGTGAGACATTATTTTGTATTATGCCTACCACTCAATCATAATTAAAATAAGAAAAAAGTGTAATGTAGTTCAGATTTTATAAAATTATACAACTATAACCAATAGATGGAGGTGAACTCCTTAATATTAAAGATTCCACCTCCAATTTAATAATTCATATTTTACTGTCTAATACAATCTAAACTATAAAATAAGACACTCTTAAAATAATTAATAACGATGGATTATATCTTGTTTAATAATTTTTAAGAAACATAGTTCAAATACTTGTTAGGAAATAATCTTTAGAAATCTTAAAAATTTTTATGTGCATTAAATATATGTAATACGCTTGAAATATACAAAGATCTACTCATACATAATGATGGGCATTATTTAGTAAAACCTAAGGCTATATTTGCTATAGTTGGGGTTTTTAATTTTTTGTTTTAATGTTGAAAATTTTTGAACTGTTGGAAGTTAAAATTAAAAATCAAATGATCAACAACTTGTTTAAGATGAATTTTGACACTAACAACTAAAAGCATAAACTTGTTTAGTCATATTAAAATTAATTTTGTTGTTATTTCTCTAAGAATCACAATAATATATTAAAAATAAAAAATGGGTGTTTTTTTTTTTTAAATAGTAAAATTTATAAAAACTAAAACCAAAAATCAAAATTGCAACCATATTAAACAAAGCCTATATTAACAAAATTATTGAATGAGAATGGTCGTTGTTCGTTAAAAACTGAATTAACATAATAATGTAATGGAATACAAAGATTACTCCAACATTCAAAGTAATGACAAAAAAAGCTATTATCTAGGTGTTAGATGTACATACCATGTATTCCATCCTAATATGGATAATAGCATTCAAAAAATGGCAAATATAGGTAACTGAGTAACCAAATAAGGATTTAAAATTTCTAAAAGGTTAAATGTCAAATTTAATCACTAGACTTTTAATTTTGAACAATTTTAGTTTTTAAACTATTTTTTATACTTTTTTTCATCCCTTAACTATGAAAAATGCACTTTTTGGACCTTTCTTTAGTTTTGTCCTTAAAGTTTGTCTAGCTGGCATTTGTTAAATTTCCTTTAGTAGCCTAATATGCATAAAACAAAAGTTTAGAGACAAAAAAAATTCTGGCTATCAGACTTAAAGGACAAAACTGATAGAAGGAAAAAAAAGAGTATTTTTCGTAGTTGAAGGATGAAAAAAGTATAAGAAATAATTCCAAGACTAAATTATTCAAAATAAAAAGTATTAAGGACTAACTTTGACATTTAACCTTTTTGAAAAATAGAATGCATTTATGGAAGAAATATCCAAATAGCATATTACACTCAAAATTTGGATTCTCACCCTAGCAAAGTCATCCAAAACTCTGCCTATAAAAGCAGCTTGGCTTTTGCACGAAACAAAATGTGGTTTGGACTTTGGGGCTAAATACAACTAGTGATGAATTCTGGTCGGTCAGTAAATTTCTCTCTTTTTTAATTTTTCAGGTAAGTCACTGATTTATAATTAGAATTCAATTCTTTAATAAACTCTCTTCAAAAATGAAAAGATTAACGTTGTTAGAAGTAGAGGAAAGTAGGAGAATGTAAATAGAGATGAACCCTAGTTGGGTCAATGAATTTACCAAAAAATTGTGAATCAATGGTTTGTCTCTTCTTAATTTTCTGGTAAGTTTCCACTAATTCAATTAGACTTCTTTCAGAAAAATATTAGTCCCACCTCTTAAAAAACTGAAGAGGCTAGCACCAATGGCTTATCTCTTGATTTCTCTTTTCTTTTTCTTTTCTTTTTTTTTTTTTTTTTTTTTTTTTTTGGTAAATAACCAATCCAACCAAAATTCAGTTTTTAGGAAAATATTACTCCCGTAAGGCCAAATTTGAGAGCCAGTTGTTGGATTGAAGAAGCAAGAGCACATAACTGAAGATGAACTCTAGTCGATTAGCAATTTATCAAAAAATAGTTTCATTTTTGGTAAATCATTAATTCGATTAGAATTCAGTTTTTCAAGAAAATATTACTCCGACAATTCCAAAAATAAAGAGGCCACTTGGTTTCTGGATTGAGGAAGCAAGAGCATATAACTGAAGATGAACTCTAGTCGGTTAGTGATTTACCAAAAAAAAGTTGACATGACAATCAATAACTTGTCTCTTGATTTTCTGGTAAATCACTAATTCGATTAGAATTCAATTTTTCAAGAAGATATTACTCCAACATTTCCAAATATGAAGGGGCTACATGGTTGTTGGATCAAGGAAGGAGTGCATAATTGAAGATGAACTCTAGTCAATTAGTGATTTACCAAAAAATAATTGACATGACAAGTTATGATTTATCTCTGGATTTTTTGGTAAATCACTAATTCAATTAAAGTTTAGTTTTTCAAGAAAATATTACTCCCACATTTCCAAGTATGAAGAGGCTACATGGTTTTTGAATTAAAGAAGAAGGAGCACATAACTGAAGATGAATTTTAGTCGATTAGTGATTTACCAAAAAGAGTTGACATGACAGGTTATGACTTATCTCTTGATTATTTTATAGTTCACTAATTCGATTATAATTCAATTTTTCAAGAAAAAATTACTTTGACCTTTTCACAAATCAAGCCTTAAGGGTTTGGATTCACTGATAAGCAAGTGTTATCTTATATGCCAAATACAGGGTTCAAGTCTTGGGTCAATACTAAAAAAAATTAATTTTTTTGAATGCACTAAGCTGATGTAAGAGTGCACTCATAAAATTGCCTGTGGAGAAGGACTAATCTCAAGGTATGTGAAAGTTAATCTAGAGATATCTTGACTGTAAATTTCAAAAAAAATAAAAAATAAAAAAACCTTTTGAAGATCAAGGCATAATTAAGAACATGTAACTGAGAATGAACTCTGGTTGAGTAAAAGATGTACTAAAAATTAATTAGGGAGGAATGCCTTGTCTCCTTATATTTTTTGCTAAATCATTTATATACTTTGATCCTTCAAATCGAAACATAAACAGTCTCTTTTTAATAGAAATGAATGAAGACAGTAAAGTATTTTAATAGCATGCAAGTTTTGACTCTTTCATATTCGACCATTTTTATTCAATCTGCTTCTGTAAACTTAATAGATCTGTAACGATAAACCCAAGTTAAATTTAAAGAGGAAATGCAGGCTGTTTATGAGACCGATGAGTTCCAACTCTATAAACAACCCCAAGTTAGTTAATGACAGTCCGGCCCACTCAAGAACCTTTGAAAAAAAGGAAACGGGGACTAAACCCATTGGAAAGACCAATAAAATAAAAAGCTTCCAAAAGGCCCCGATCAATTAGAGACCCAAAAAAAAAAAAACCAAAGTGTAGATAATAATATGAATTTTTTCTTTAATTAGAAATTTTTTAAGTTTTTAAATTAGGTAATAAATTTTTAGATTTAAATTTTGAAGGATAAAGTAGTACATAAGGTTTTGAATTTACACTAAATTCTTAATTAAGATTTTAAAGTTTTATTGCACTCAATTAAAGTTTCAAACTTGTGAAAGTTCTCAAATAATGTACGGCAGAAGGTGCAATTCAGCCCCCCTACCTGCAATGTTGTGGGAGATCAGCCCCTGTACTAGAAACACTGGCAAATCAGCCCCTCTACTTCATGTTGTCCGCAAAACAACCCTTTTAGTGAGAATGACGTCATTCCACCGTTAGACCCGTCCATTACCCGTCAAAGCCTGATGAGTTGGCGCTGATTGGGAGCTGAGTGGGCGCTGATGTGGACCATTTTTGCTCCACCTGGGTTTACCGAGATGGCACTCCAATGCTTTTACTAAAGAACCCTTACCAGAACAATAAAATTGGGGATCTAGGGTTTGAATCTCACAATCTCACCTTCGATTGAACTTTCCTTCTGTTTTGATTTCCTTCTGCTAATTTTAATTCCTTCC